TTTTAAAAAATCAATAAAATGTATTTGAAAAATAAATAACAAAAAAGGGTTAGCAAGAAAAAGTACATCAACTGACTTAATTTTGTAAACTATTTACACTCTTCATTTATCCATTTTTTCCTACTCCAGAACCACACAAAATAAGTGAAATGACCAAGTTCAAGATAGACGCTTGAAATTAACACTGAAAAGAACCCGTTAAGTAGTTGCCTCAAGTCCAAACAATTAGCAAATAACAGAACCCAATCCAAAATAACAACCATTTCCCACTCACAACTCTTCAATCCTCCGTCATACTTAATAGTAATAAAAGCAATTCAATTTATACAATGGAGTGAAAAAAATTTTTAAGTGCTATTTAATGGGATATTTAATTTGAAAACCCCATAACATACACTGAATAACTGTTAATTATCATTTCTAATTTTTACTAAAATTCTTACTTGACTACAGTCTGATTTTCTTAACTCCCAAGCCAAATTATTTTGGGTCTTAAATCTGGAGTAACAGGCCTCACACAGTAATTCTAAGAGGAAAAAAGGTTATATGGATTAGATAAAGAATGTAAGAATTTTAAGCAAGTCCACTTTTACTACATACATTTCTCTTTTTTAACAATTCAGTGATTTTTTTTTACATTCTTTTTCTACTCTTAACTTTTTTTTTGCAAAAACATGAAAAATCTGCTTTAGGTACAAATAATACCTTAGATGATATCCATTTCCTGATGGACAATTTGTCTCAAAGTCTAGCCTCAGTTTCTTATATTCCTTGTCCTTCAGATCCATTTCATTTCCAGGTCCAATTCCCACAGCAACATCTGGACCTTGTCATCACTAGAACTATTCTGGCAGTTTGATTAAAATAAAAGATCTTTACCATAACTTTTTTTTAAAATATATTTTATTGATTTTTTACAGAGAGGAAGGGAGAGGGACAGAGAGTTAGAAACATCGATGAGAGAGAAACATCGACCAGCTGCCTCCTGCACACTCCCCACTGGGGATATGCCCACAACCCAGGTACATGCCCTTAACTGGAATCAAACCTGGGACCTTTCAGTCCACAGGCCGACGCTCTATCCACTGAGCCAAACCGGTTACGGCGATTATAGTTTCTTAAAAGCAAAGTTTTCTGTAATTTCTCCAGAAAACCTATCACCACACCTTTATAAGACAGCGCTCAATAGTATTTCTATTACTATTTGTTTCCTCATTTATTTCCCCATATTTAATCAGTAAAATAGCTTAATCATTTCTCCCACTGAAATGTCTCTGTAGCCTTTCCTTTGTAGTCTCTCTGCTATGCTTCAGGACCTTATTGCTCCATAGCTCAAGTAATGTGAACAGTCCACTCTACGGTTCAATCTATCCTGTCAAATAAGTCTTCTTGATTATCATTTTCAAATGATCTGAGTAATGATCTTTAGCCCTGCAATAATTTCCTCAACAGTTATCTAAAACAAACAGTATTCATCCATTTTCTGCAGAGCCCTTTGGGGTTCTTTATTTCGTGGGGCTCAAGAAAAATTATAGGGAGATGAGTATGAGGGTTATTTTAGGTCACCTATCCCTATTTCAACTCTAATGTGGTGAACTTGTTGAGTACAACTCCATCTGACCACATGATTGATGGTTAAAAACAATGACCTACAGAATAAAATGCATACTACTTTGTCTCAAGATTTAAGAACGCATAACCCCCCCCAATATACTGTCCATTCATATCTTCTATTATCTATATACAGTAGGTTCTCAGGTTACATCAGAGATCCGTTCCTACGGCACAACGTAACGCAATTTTCGTCGCAAGTCAGAACCCACCTACATAAGCACCTACCTCACTCACATGGAGCGCATACATAGCAGTAATAAAGTGAAACAGTAAAAAAATATTTAAAAGATATCAATTCCTGACCTTTACTTGTGGTAAATAATAAAAAACATAAAGCACATATGTACATGTCGAAATGACGCAACTTTTTTTTTTATAAATGGGAGATGGCGATGTAACCACCAAAGGATGTACAAAACAAAATGTCGTACAAAACGAAACGAAGTACAAAATGAAATGACGTATAAGACGAAACAATGTACGTCAAGTCCGATGTAACCCGAGGACTATTTGTATAGCAAATCTATATATATAAAAGACTAAGCGACTGTCCAATCGTCCGATAGGTATGACACACACTAACCACCAGGGGGCAGACTCTCAATGCAGGAGCTGCCGAGCTGCAGTGACTTGGCAGCAGCGATTCTCGGGTGACAAACCCAAAACCAGAGAGGAGGAAGCCCAATTCCTCACGGGGCCACGCGATTCCACCTTCGGCCATGGATTAAGTTGTTCGTTTACTGCACACTTGCGTTTGCGTCCCACACCCTGTACAACAGCAACTTTGCAGAGTGCCCTCTCACACTCCGGGACCCCTTGGGGGATGTCAGAGGGCTGGTTTTGGCCTGATCCCCACAGTCCAGGCCGAGGGACCCCACCTGGAGGGACCCCTCACTCCACAGACACCCTTCGAGCCATCATGCCTGGGGAGAGACCGCAGGAGGTTGACTCCAGGGCATGAAGGGCCCCTCTCGCCCAGTCCCACCCCACCAGCCACCTTCTAATTCAGCGGTCACCAACCAGTGGTCCACTGGTGGTCCGTGAGGTCCGAAAGGTTGACAACAGCTGGTTTAAGGAAACCTTTGGAGCAGCAGTAGCCAACCAAGTGGTCTGCAGACCACTGGTGGTCCGTGAGATCCAAAAGGTTGGAGACCTCTGTTCTAATTAATTTCCTTTCAATGTGCATGAATCTGTGCACTGGGCCACTAGTATCCCTATAAGAACCCTCTGCTCAATAAAAATTAATTTACTTACAAGATATACCTCATTACGTTCCAACTCTCCAATTTTGCTCAATCCATTTTCTTTACCTGGGACATATTCCCCATTCCTAGCTATTTTAAAAATCCTAAACTCCCTTAAAAACATAAATTTGTCTAAAATCTTTCTAACCCTATTTCAAAATTCTAAAAACATTTAATATCAGGATCATTAGCAATCACTAATTTTTTGCCTTGTGACACAGCTTCTTTTATAATCTTAGTCATGTAATTCTTATAACTAATTATGATAAGCTTCTATCTTATCTGGAAAAAAAATGCTTCTTCGAAGGCAAGGACTTCTTTGTTAGTTGCCACGGAACCAAAAACATTGCTTTGAACATAGTATTTAATAATTATTTAAGAATTTCTATCCCATACAGGTAGTAATCTGATTAAAGATCATCTGGTTAAATTGAACAGCAAGAAGAAAATAACACACACACACACACACACACACACACAAAAGAAGAAACTAACACAGATTTCTAGAACTAGGATAACTATTTTAGAAAAAAAATTAATAAAATTTAATTGTAATCATCAGTGTGCATTTCAAGGGGTCCTCTACATAAAAATAAGAACATGACTGAATGTGTCTACTATTTACATTTGACAATTTTTGTAAACCAAGTATGTTTTATCAAATAGATAATTCTGAAGGACAAGCAAAATAAAATTTTTGCTAAATGTTTTACTAAAAAGAAAGACAATCATTATAGTAATAAAAAGGATATCAGCTTTAGCAAAGTCTCTTATCCCACACTGAGGTAATCCTGGTGTGTTCTGCATGTAGAAATCCAAGTAAAACCAATGGGCAAGTTCAATCTGAAAACATACTCGGATGGCATTGTCTCTTTCCTCGCTGGGAATATGCAAAATAAATCGGCTGTCAAAAACAAAACATATACAAATTATTTACAAACCATAACGATTTATTTTAACATATTTAACTGCCTCATCCCTGACCCATCACCAGAGAAAAGGGACCAAGAGTGCAGTGCTGATCAAGAAAGCAAAATTTGGGGAAATTACTATAGAGAAGATGAGTCTGGAAAAAACAACAGCTGATTTTTTTTTAAGAGGCCATTTACCTTCTATTCACAAATACAGGAATAAACTAAAGAGCTCAGTAACAATGAATTAAAGGTGAACAAGAAAACCTTCACTAGGATTTTCTCCCATGTCTGGTAACATATTCTAAGAATACATGCAAATGCATTCATACAAACAGAAAAAAATGATAGCTGCTTCATCTTCACATTTAAAGCATTACAAAAAAATTTACAGAAATCAATACTCTGTTGTTCTTTAATAGACTACAAACATCCCAAAGAGCCTCATCAGCAGAACCTAGTTCAAGCTGTCTTTGAGGAACCTCCAATATCAGTCAATATCTTTAAGTCTTTCCTTATGGGGCTAGATGCCTGGAGAAGAACCTTCCAATCTCCTACCTAGAAGGTAAAGGCCAAGCTGTTGTATTCTGGGAGCTGAGCTGGGGGATGGGGCAGAGGGTTGTTAGTATGTATATAAGATATATAAATTCACTTCTACCATTTTTCAGTATTCTCTGATTCTGGAGTAGACTGGCACTACTACTACAGTAGTCTCGCATTCTGGCCTATCATGTCTACTAAGTCATATACCACTTTCCCTTTTGCTTTATAGTTTCCAAATGTTGTTGCTCACCTCTTCACCCGTTCTTCCTTTCCTTGTGGATTTACACATTTCAAAAACAAAACAGCCCAGCCTGTGTGGCTCAGAAGTTGAGCGTTGACCTATGAACCAGGGGGTGGGTCATGGCTCAATTCTTGATGAGGGCACATGATCAGGTTGTGGGCTCAATCCCTAGTAGGGAATGTGCAGAAGGCAGCCAATCAATCATTCTCTCTCATCATTAATGTTTCTATCTCACTCTCTCCCTTCCTCTCTGAAATCAAAAATATATTTTTTTAAAAACTTTACTGTTTTAGTGAGATGCTGTATTCAATCTACTATCTTTAACTAGAAATTCCCACAGCAAGGTCTATTTATGTAGTGTCTACATCACTTTTGCTCCTTTGTCATAAGTTTCTCCTGCAAACGATTGGGGAAAGAGGGAACAACACCAGAGGCTCTTTTCTAACTTTAGCAGATAGGTTTGGGTACTGGCACCCCAAAGCAAAACTCACACACCCTCGTTCTCAAGAGCCCTCCAGTATATGAGCCACCTTTCTATCTACTCATGTAACAGGAGAAGCCTACCAACAAGCCCCTCTACTATCTCATCTTACCGTAAATATAAAAAGACAACCAAGAATCACTCAACATCTAAGGAAAACCTGGGCCGTGCCAAAGAAAAAATTAAATAAATTTAAAAACTGGTTTCCTAGAGCCTTGTTACTCAAAGTGTAGACCCTGGATCAAGTGGGAGCATGAAGTGTGAGAGGGGAAACACATTTTAGTCATAGGTCATTAGGTTACGTCCTAATGACCTCCCTCAAAGGAAATTACAATGTGCACCAGCAAAACAAGAATGAAAACCAAGAAAGCATAAAACATGAGGTTCCTGAGAGAATAGGGACAACCGGGGAGCGCGGTGAAAGAAAATTCTAGGACACTAGCTGTTAGGCAAGTGAACCCGTCCAGATTGGACTACGACAGTGGAGGTCTCCAAGAGGTCAACTCTGGAGGAAAAAAGAACTTCTGCATGATTGAGGATATAATAAAGGAGCAGATGGGAGAAGGTGGAAAGACAGCAAAAAAACTTTGGATATGTACATAACTGTCTAACCATTATGCTGTTCATTTGAAACTAATACAGAATAATACTGAATATAAAACTGTAACTGAAAAATAAAATAAATAAAAACTTGGATGTACTGGGTGAGAGGGGTAAATATATACAAAAGAATTGTAGTCCAACTATGAAGCAAAACACCAAAAACAGACAATGCAAAAAAAAATTGATTTCAAAAATAGCTAGAAGGAATTAAGGAAAAAAAACTAACGGGGGGGGGGGGCGAGAAAAAAACTAAAAGGCAGCATCATTTTGATCAATCTGTAAAATATAAGAAAGGAAAATGCTTTTAAGAGCCTTTTATGAAGGTCACATGACTGATGGAAAAGAAACAAAACAAGGTTTCCAGGCAGAAAAGAAACAAAACCCTAGCCACTGTAGACTTGCCTTTACTGTGAAAAACATGCACATAGTTACACTGTATAACTAATGTTATTTATTACTGTTCAGCTTTTGCAATCAACCAATAGTAAAAAGTATAACAGACATCGAAGGTTACAAAATGAAATGTAAATATTACCATTTTTTAATTTTTATTTTAGGTTCATCCAGATAGAAGCTGAAGGAATAAGTAAGAAAGATGGGACATGTTCTTCTAGTCATTTATCCAGACAGACAGACACCAAGCATTTCTTCTTTTTTACAAAATTTGGGGTTACAGAAAATAAGTGCCTTTTAAGTGGTTCATCCAAATCTACTATAATCATACCATCCCCAAAGAAATAGTGACATTATTTCTTATTAGTTGCAAAATTATCCTTCTTTTGTGAGGCTTAAAAAAAAAACAACACACAAAACGCTGTATTTGATTTCCTATTACATCCACCTGGCGTAGAAGAACCAGCACAAGCTCTGTAAAGGGCCTAATTTTCTGAAACCTTGATTTTCTGAAATAGGATGAATGTGAGTTTGGGTAAATTACCGTCTCCCTGAGTCTGTCAGGTGAAAATGGAAATAACTGCATCTACCAAATAGGGTTGTTTGGGAGAATAAATAAAATGTTAAAGGGAGGACTCAGTACCTGGCGCCTAGTAACCTCGTAAATATTAGTTGTTTCCTACTTTAAAAAAAAAAAGCGTGAATGCGAGACAACTACTAAAAGTCAGACTTGTAGACATAAATACAGTAACTGTCACTGAAAAGGGATTTTATCAGAGCTTTAACTCACTTGTAATTTAAAATATTTCACAGCCTCCTTACACCTGGCGACAACTCCGGGTAGTACTGCACCAAAAATTTCACTTCGGGGGGAAATACGTATTTCTTTAAGTTTATGTTACACGTTTGGCTCTCTGAAATCGTAGCTGACAAAAGGGAAGAATGCAAGAACTTTCTCTTGTAAAAGTATGCCGGGAGTTAAAACCCTGAAGTTGAGAACTTCCTTTAAGGATAATCAAGGCATGAAAAGGAAACCAACTATAGGCATTGTTTTCCCTCCCCACTGTAAGTTTTGGGATGAACAGGAGTAATTCCGCACACAATTTGCAGAACGACGTTACAGGGGAAAGGGGAAGTCTGAAAACTGCTCCCTGCGGACGTCCCGGCCCGGGTTCTAAGGTTTAAAACCTCAGGGCCTTTCAACGGAGGGAGGAGGGGGACAGGCAGTAAGAGTCAGAGCCCGAAAAGCCACTGAGGGGGGGGGG